ACACACACACACACACACACACACACACACACACACTAATATTCTAAAATATGATGGTGTTCAGTTAAACTCTTATGTTTTTTTAACCTTCTACGACTGTAAAACTATGTCACTAAATATCTAAACCCTAATTTCAAAGGGCAAAACTCGCTAAATTGAAATGTTTTTTTTGTTGATAGTCATTTATGTTATGATTGTGTTTCACAATTGTATATGTATTTAGATCATTATGACTGTAAGCCAGACTCTTGTGGACCATTGGCCAAGTGTATGCCAGATGGAGGCTGCAATTGTGAGGATGGTTATGAAATCCCCCGAAGCCACCTTCCTACTCCGGCTTCATTTGGTTGTGTTGGTAAGTACGTGAAATTAAAAATAAGTAACTATTCTATATTTCTTGTTTATTCTTATGAAAATAATGTGTAAAACAAAGTGCATCATCTTTTGATCCTGATGTCTTATGCCTAAAAAAAATGATCTGGGCCTTACCAGGTTAAAAAAATAATTTGATCTTTCAAAAGGATAATGCAGAAGCTGCTACTCACAAATCAGAGTCCCTTTATAGATAAAACCTTCTACCCTAAGTTGGGAAAAAAAAGGTTAACATTTTAAATTATGAGGAAAAAAAAAGAGAATATTACATAATAAAGATTTATTCCTTTACTCATTCCTTTTAAGACTTTAAGTGGGATCACAGGTAGGAATATTTGAAATTCTCAAAAATGTGTGGAATGTGCTGGTCAGTTTACCAGCATGCCATGCGATGAAGCAAACTAACTTCTTTAGTAACAAAGTTGACAGTGTGAGATTGCATTTGCAAACAGCAGAGACTAATCTTTATTGTAACATCATCCCCTGGAATAGGGTCAATAAAATATGTCCTATAGTATTTGGAAAGGTTAATGAGGATTTGGCTGAGGATATGTTGTCATATCCTTATCTCCATCTTTTATAGGTGAGACATCCATAGGCATAGACTTGGATGGAAAACATATTTAAATCCTTGACTTTGCTGTTCTCCCAAACGTCCTTCAAACAGCCTTCAAATTGTTTGCAAATGGTCTTATAATTCAATGCTCACATGGGCAATGACAGTGAGACCTGGAAGGGTGTAATTGGGCAGAACCGCATGCCTGATCTAAACCTGAGTGGTGTTTTGTTATTGGACTTTTGTGCCTACCACTGTTTGTCCATAACGAACACCATGTTAGAACATAAGGATGTCCATAAGTGCACATGGCACAAAGAGCACTCCAGGTCACAGGTCGATGGTCAATTTTGTAATTGTATCATTGGATCTGCAGCCGTATGTTCTGAGCACTCGGATAAAGAGACCGAGCCTTTCACTGATCACCACCTGGTCTTGAGTTGCGTTAGATGGTCGAGGAGAATACTGGACAGACCTGGTACGCGTAAATGCATATTTAGGGTGCTCTGGGAAAATCTGGGAGAGGCCACTATCAAAGAGATCTTCAACTCCCACCTCTGGCAGAACTTTCACAGCATTACCAGGACACCGTAAGTAAGGGGGGCCATCAAGCTGATCAAAGAGCTCTGGGTAGAGACCACAAAATTGAGAATGTGGATACAAGTGGCAGAAATGAGCCTTCTCCAAAGGATGGCTGGCCTCTCTCTTGGAGATAGGGACCATGCTGAATGATATTAATACAAAGATTTACACTAATGTTTGTTATAAATAAACTTCACAAACAAACTAAAGTAACAATAAATAACTAAAAACAAAAGAAAATAAACTTCACTAAATGTCAATACTGTTAAAGTTTGCAGCTTGTTTGTTATTATTCTTTTTGTCAGATATTGATGAGTG